ACAGTGTGAGACAGAAAAGAAAAGATATTTATACTTAAAGCTGTGGAAGCAATATTATCATCATTTACCTATTTCTATACTGTCTAGGAGAATAAAAAGATCTACTCCATCAGAGGAAAACTCCTGTATATCAATAAGGTCTTTGGACCAGGCCAAACACCTTATATTATTAACAAATGCATAAGCCAAGCAAGAACAATTATTTAGGCATTGTATCATGCACTCTTCAGCATCCAAAGACGTGATATATTCATGGTAGTTTCAACCCTACCATCTTCGAAAACCCATCTCTTTTTCCTCTCGAAGTGACTGACTTGCTTGTGTACTACTCTCAAAAAACAATTTTGTTTTCCTCACACACCCTGCTGTCCTGTTTCCTTTGCTCCATTCCTCATGTGACTTAGGTACAAACCCTTTCAAACACTTGCAGATTGGAGATTCAGAAGTTCTGCAAAACCCAAAAAGGTCCACATGTTCCATAATGGTCACATGGATTCTTTTGGGCCTGCCAGTTAAGATTCCAGTTCTCACCATGTTCGATCGGAATACATAAGCTTTAGTGTACCTTCTGAAGAGATATCCATATATCTGAGTTTTGTCAAATACATATAATAAGAGAAATACTTTGTTCCCTGTTGCACATTATCATCGAGATTCAACCCACAACCTTCTGAGTGTTTGCTAGATTCTATGTCCCTTGAAAGATACGTGCCAATCCAAAATATGAAATTTTTGGGCTCATCTTCTCATCCAACAGAATATTACTTACCTACAAATAGGACATGGTGGAGATTAAACAAGTCTCTAGCAACACCTTGAATGATATTGAAGTGTTTAGCCCAATCAAACACTGCTCTTCTCATTGGATCTAATTAATACACCCATTGCCATTAGAAATGAAATCAATAGTCCCCTGAGTTCGGCATACTAGGATAATCAGACATTAGCAATGATACTGAAGAAAGATTAGGTGACAATGAGAAATTGCAGCCAAACATAAAGGGCCAGTTAAACTAACCCAATAATATCATATCCAAGCTTTTGTTGAGCTTTACAAGATTCCTGTGTTGGAGTTTGGAGATCAACAGAATCTCATTCTTCAACTCTTCGATGCCTTGCCCTGAGCTACTAAATAGTCTTTTTCGAGAAAATCGGCCTAGGCGGCAGGCGCCCAAGAGCAAGGCGGGCAATTCTGGGCAGAAGCTGTTCAATGTTCAGTATATTTGCTGAATAGATGTCCAACCAAGAGTGTCAAGAACAAGACACCTCAGGAGGCTTGGAGTGGCTACAAACCTAATGTTGCACATCTACGTATCTTTGGATGTGTTGCATATGCTCAAGTACCTGAAGCCAAAAGAAGGAAGCTTGATGATCGTGGAGAAAAATGTATCTTTGTAGGATATAGTGAGGAGTCAAAAGCCTACAAACTCTACAATCCATTAACAAATAAGTTGGTGATCAGTAGAGATGTTATATTCAGTGAAGAAGAAGCATGGAATTATAGCAGCAAAAAGAACATTGAAAATCTGGTGGCGGATGAACCTGGGCAACTTCCAGAAGTTGCAACACCAATCACTCACCAAGCTCCACCAAGCCCTTTACAGTCCACTGAACACACACCGACCCCACTGAGTGCTCGACAGAACTCTGAGCTCTCAGCATCTCCACCAAGTCTTCCCTCCTCAACTCACAGATCTGCTACATCATCTAGTCGCAGCAGCAGCAGCTCTCTGACTCCCATCAAAATGAGAGATCTCACGGACATCTATGAGCATGAAGAAGGTAATACAAACCTGTTTTGTTTGTATGCAGATCATGAGCCATTATCGTTTCAGGAAGCTGTACAAGAAGATTGTTGGAAATCAGCAATGGAAGAAGAAATCCATGCAATTCAGAAGAATGACACATGGAAACTAACAAATTTGCCACCACAACAGAAGGCTATTGGTGTCAAATGGGTGTACAAAATCAAGCGCACTGCAGATGGTAGTGTTAATCGGTACAAGGCAAGGCTTGTAGCTAAAGGCTACAAACAAAAATATGGAATAGACTATGAAGAAGTCTTCGCACCTGTTGCTCGACTTGATACCGTGAGGTTGTTAATCTCACTTGCAGCACATAACAATTGGAAGATTTACCAACTTGATGTCAAGTCAGCTTTTCTCAATGGTATTCTTGATGAGGAAGTTTATGTTGAACAACCTGAAGGATTCAAAATAAAAGGTGAAGAACAGAAGGTGTATCGTTTGAAGAAGGCCTTGTACGGTCTAAAGCAAGCCCCAAGAGCTTGGAATTCACGTATCGACAGTTATCTTCAAGAAAATGGATTTGTTCAATGTCCATATGAACATTCTGTTTACATGAAGAATGGTGGTGAAGGTGAATTTCTTATCCTTTGTCT